TCCTTCAGGAGTTCCCCTTGCATTTAGGCAGACATTACAAACAAACACCTTTATATACATATATCCATACCACTGCCACTTACCTTTATCCATCAAACTGGTCGTATGCCTACTTGACCAAGCAGCACTGATGATTCTCTCGATCCTCAACACAGATTGGACATGAGCACAGGACATAGACTGTGTCTTCCCAGACACTAGTACGTTGAGGGTCATGCTACAACATACCGGATCTCACTTGAACAGCCTTAAAGCCCTTCCTTTCAGCCACCTTCCGGACTAAAGTCCACTACAAGACTGCAACGTGGAGAGGCCAAACTCCACGCATTCTTTTCGCTCTTACAAGTAAAGGCAAGAAGCACAAAGCACTCTGTCTGACCACTCGGCATGAAGAGACAATACTTACATGTCTTCACATTCATGAATAAAACAATCTTCATCTATGAGCTGCACTATCTCTCCAAGGACCCTACTCTCCTCCAGCTTAAAATCCTCAACTACTAGGCCTAATCAGAGCAACTGGAGTGCTTTGTGGGTTTGTGTTTTTCGGTTAGTGGGGGTTTTTTCCCTAATGCAGTATCACAAAAAAGAAAGGTTAGTGGGCAACCCAACACAGCAAATAAGTATGATTCAATACCCTGCCTCTGACACAGGCCAATACAAGGTGGTTTAGAAGATGGAGCAAGAAGCCCCAGTGGACAATTATGGAACAAACTGCCCTTTCTTCAAACCTTTACCTGCTAGAGATTGGGTTATGTCTGAAAAATACACCTTCTAAAACAAGTTCTTTAGCTAAAGCAAGTCTGAACATTTCCACTCGTAAGTGCTTGATCTTTTCGAAATCCCGCTGAGCTCTTAGCCTCAGTGCTATTATGTGGTAGTGAATTTCCACAGATTAGACATCATGTGAAAATACTTTAAAATCATTATTCAGTTTGATGCCTATCAGTTTCACTGAATTGCGTTCACCTCAACTGAAGAATACATTCCAGCTCCTTCACCTCTGCACAGCAGTCTTCCTCAGGCTTGGCACCCAGCATTGTTGAAAAGCAGAGGAAAACTGAGCCCACCCAAGTGATGCTTATCCTGCATTCCAACCATTGCAATGCTATTCTCACAATCCTACACAGCCTTCCACGCCATTTCCTTCCTAAGCACAGCTCCCAGGAGGATACTCCAGAGAGGGTGTCTCATGTCATTCCAAATATGAGACAGCCTGCAAGCTGCTGCTCTTGGCCCTCTCTGTCTGAGCATATTAGCAATAAGACCATACATGAACATCCTGACAATAAGCAAACATTTCCGAGTCTGGAACAAACAAGGGGGCAAAAAAGAGAAGAGATTAATTTAAGTCAAAAAGATTCAGCTAGATAAGGCATTACAAGCCGTGGAAACAAGCAAACCACTCCTGGGAAGGAAAGAAAGGGGGGGGTCTCAGAGTGCCCACTTGCTTTAAACAAGCCAGAGCCTGACTTGCACTCTATAGCAATTTCACCGTGCTACAGAATATGCAGGACAGTGGCTCACACAGGGGTCTGCTTCATCTTGACGTCACGGCTTAGAATATCCTTTTCATTTCTCCTGCACCAAGCTTTACTAAAGCATTCAACACCACGGTATCCAAGCATCTTATAGACACTTACAGATTCTTCCTCAAATCCCCAATAAGATGGGCGTTAATCATATTTTGCAACCAAAGAATGAAGAGCAAGAAACAGTAATGATCTGAACATGTTCATGCAATAAACCTGTGGCAGAAATTAGGCATCCTACATTGCAGTTCAGAATTCTGATCGCAGGGTCATCCTTCCCCTCCAACCAGCTGTAAAGGTACTTCAATTTTAAAAAGTAACATTATTCCTACTACAGTTACAGACCCAGCCAATCTAGATCGAAGGAAAAGCCCTCAGGTAGTGGAACTGGCAGGGAAACAGGATGGACGATTTCATGCCCTAAGGCATTAGCCCTGTTTGCATAGATTATGCACATAGTTCCTTTGCAGTCCTGTGTAAAATGAATTTCAGAGAGGATCATATTTACTCAGTTACTAGTGACTTGAAATACACATAGCTAGCACAAATGCCACAAGCACTCACTCTCTCCATAGCTCAGGGTGTCATACAAAAAGGAGATATCTTCCCAACCAAAGCCTTCAAGCAAGGAGATGAACGTATCCAGCTTCAGGACCTTAAATTTACTCGCAAAGCATCAATCAAGTTGAACAGCCAAGAAAATCTGCTCTGTTACGACAATTCCAGTTCTTGACAACCCCAGTCAAAAGAGCAGAGATGAGTCAAAAAGGTGTCAAGCAGATCCTCATTTCTTAGTGGAGGAATCCTGCCCTCAATCTGTATCACATGCAGGCTCATTTGAGACCCCTACCTGTTATGTTTCTCCCAGGAACATGAAAGGCAGAGGGTTATTAGCCATTACTACATTATTCTTGTCACACTGTGCTGTAAAAGCTAGGCCCTTGCTAACAAGGATACAACACGGTTAATTTGTTATGATCTAACCTCCAGAATTATTTCTCGGGACTATGCTATAGATGTAGTGACACATGGAAATCTCAGAGAGTCCAGCTTTCAGTGGATCCTCCACAAAACATAGCAGACATTTTAACAGGTTAGAGAGCTCACCTTCAGAAAAATCATCAGCCTCCAGGACTCATAAGCATCAAGTCTACTTCAAACAACTACCGAGAAATACAGTCACATTTTACCGAAACTTGTTTATTTTGCTATTGCTCAAACAGCTTGGCTTTCTTCACCTTTTTAAAAGCACTTTATATGCCACACCAGCTGCCACAAACCTTTTCTCCAAGCCAGCTCTGGTACCACTCACACCAGCACATTGACCAAAAATCACTCGTTGTCCCATCTCAGTTTATTTATCCTGCTCTGGGACAAAAAGGGGGCAAAGGAGTATATCTCTTTCAAAGCTACAGTCTATTTCCCGTGCATACTATGCCACGTGATTGTACTTAGAGTGGATGGCAGAGATAAGAATTCAGAGTTTGAAAGCCGCAAAGCAAGTGACTTAGCAGCAGCCAACAAACTACTTGAAACAGATTGGAAAAGAATGCAAGGTCATCTTTGGTTCAGAAAGCTGGTTTGAGGAGGCACAGGTCTTGGCACGTAACTCATCCCCTCCTGACCCAATGCCTTGTTAATATTAAAGATTAAGATAGCCACAGGCTGCACTTTGGAACTCCGCTGGCCCTGCTGAAATGCACTCCCATGATTTCAAGAGCATGGGTGCCTGGGAAGGGATGAAAAGCCAAAAGCTTCTGATACTACAGCTAAGATCTGCTAGCTTAAATGCTGATTTAACATCCAGGAGTTGAAACACACCGTATGCAAAGCACTGTTGGGATACATATGCTTTCTGCAGTGATTCACCAAGAAGTGAAGAAAAGAGAAAGGAGTTGTACTAAAAGTGATTTGACAAGTAACTGAAAGGTATGAACAACTCAAAGGACCCCGTTGCTGGGTACCAAATAGCTGCCCCTCTAAACTGGATCTCAACAGTGAGGTCAGGAGAGGACAGAAAGGCCAGCGGTACACCTGCACCACCCAGCAGGGGATCAGTTAAAATACAGGCGGAAAAAACAATGTGGTGGAAGAAATAACCTAACAGAACAGAGGATCACTAGAATTACCTAACTTTGGCATTGCAATTATTGCAAGAGCACGATTATCGGAAAGGATTTCATTGGGATTCCGATTGGGTAGACCTCGTGATTACACAGAGAACACAGCTGCTTCAGCACTGACAGAACAGACTTTAGGCTGCTTCTCTGGATGGCGTGTAAAGAGCACTGGCTTATGTCTTTAATTGAGCTTTTCTTCCCAGGGGCTCTTACTGAATTCTTCAGGGTCACTCCCATTTCACTGACACCCCTAGCCTCTCAATTCAGGCAATGTAGGCCTACTATGATGCAGAGAATACCACAGAGAGGGACAGTTTTTCAGGTATGTTGTTCACATACTCTCAAAAAATTCAAGTAGTGGGACCAAAACAACACAGTCTGACTCAGCATCAGCTCATTCCTGGCTTTCTTACCTGCTGTCTGATGCTTCAAGAAGGATTCATTGCTTCCTCTTACGTAAGCCCTTTATCCCAGTTTCTTCTATGAATCTGTAAAACAGAGATACATACCTCTAAAAAGCTTTCTCTGGCATAGAACTATCTACGTTTGATGGATGATTCTTTTCAGGACAACCTCCACCTGGCATCTCTTAGATCTAGGTCATTCTCAGCGTTGCCAGACTTGCATATCGTTTGCACACCCTGATGCCTACCAATGCAATCTCCTGCCCATCTAAAAATCCATTTATTAGCACTCGATCTTTCACTCTGCTCCATACAGTGTGCTCAAGCCCAGAGCCAGATGCAGTTCGGTATTCACTGGTTTTTCTTTAAAGTCTTCCCACGTTCCCAGGCGCTGCTCACGAATTCTATAGTAGGAAGCATCCCTTGCACTAGAGAGGGTGTCCAGGCTGGTAGAGAATTTCCCATTCCCCTCTGCCAGGCTTGGCACCAGGGGAGTGCTGCTCCCTCCCTTCCAACTCTGCCTCTGTCAGTTATACTCTGGTTCCTTCACACACACATGCCGGCCCAGACTTGTTCCACTTCGCGGCTCCTACTCCAGCAACGCTCCCTGCACAGCTACTGCTTCCTCATCCCCCACACCACCTACCTCCCCATCACCCAGACAAGGCTACACCCTGCACGGACCCGGTTCGGCCTGCCACTTCCCTGCCCGCTCTGCTCCCTGCCACAGGTCTTCCCCCCGGAGGGAGAGCTCCCTAGTGCCCCGATGGCCGAGGCGGTGGCACTACCACCCTCCCCCACGGGAACGGCCCCCTCCCCGGGGCCGAGGATGTGGCCCTACCACCCTCCCGCACCCGGCCGCCACCCGCCGCCCGGCTGACTCCCCCTGCCCCTGGAGCGACCCGCCCGGACCCGC